GGCGTCTCGAACATGCACTCCAGGTTCACGATCCCCGGGTGCCGCAGGCTCTGCAGCGGGAGGGCGGGCGAGGCGGCTCAGGGCCCAGGCCAGCCCTGCGCCGGGCCCAGAGGACAGGCGCCGGGCAGAGGGTGACAGACAAGAGGAAGGGTGTCCCTGGGGCGTCACTGGGGGAGGGGCTTCCGCAGGCCCAGTCCGAGCGGCCGCTCTGCGCCCCCGGGGGCCGGAGGGATCCGACTTCACATCACCCGATTCCGGCGCAGGCGGGTGGCGGGAGGGTGGCAGGTGGAGTGTGGGGGAAATGGGAAGAATCTCCGTATTTCTGTCTTGTATTTTTTTTTTATTTTTTTTTTTTTTTAAATATATTTTATTGATTTTGTACAGAGAGGAAGGGAGAGAGATAGAGAGTTAGAAACATCGATGAGAGAGAGTCATCGATCAGTTGCCTCTTGCACACCCCCCACTGGGGATATGCCCGCAACCAAGGTACATGCCCCCGACCGGAATCGAACCCGGGTCCCTTCAGTCCCCAAGCCGATGCCCTATCCATTGAGCTAAACCGGTCCCGGCCGTATTTCTGTCTTTTAAAAATATAGATATCTTATTAATTTTTTACAGAGAGGAAGGGAGAGAGTTAGAGAGCTAGAAACATCGAGAAACATCGATCAGCTGCCTCCTGCACACCCCTACTGGGGATGTGCCCGAAAGCAAGGTACATGCCCTTGACCGGAATCGAACCCGGGACCTTTCAGTCCGCAGGCGGACGCTCTATCTACTGAGCCAAACCGGTTTCCGTGTAAGGCGCAGATTTAAAAGTCAGATATACAGTCCTAACCGGTTTGGCTCAGTGGATAGAGCGTCGGCCTGCGGACTGAAAGGTCCCGGGTTCGATTCCGGTCAGGGGCATGTACCTTGGTTGCGGGCACATCCCCAGTAGGAGGTGTGCAGGAGGCAGCTGATCGATGTTTCTAGCTCTCTATCCCTCTCTCTGTAAAAAATATATAAAATATATTAAAAAAAAAGTCTGCACCTTCTCCCTCTTCCCCCCCGCCCTGGCCTGGCCTGACCCCATCTCCCCCACCCAGGTCCCCACCCAGCCTCTGCCTTGGGCTCCAGTCCCACCCCTCCAATGGCGGCCGAAGGACCTTCTGAAGTGCACACCTGCTTCTGCCCTTCCTCGCTGAAGACGCTTCCATGGCTCCCCGGGCCCCTCAGGAGCAGCTGCAGTGTGACCCCAGCTGCCTCCCGGGCCTCACCACCCACCCCCAAACCCCTAACCCCGGCGTCTTCGCCTGCCTGGCGGGGGCACGTCCCCTTTCACCTCCAGCCTGTGCACGGGCACCGGCCCACCCTCACTCTCAGCATGGGAAGCCCTCCCGCCCCAGTCCCGCCCTCTCCGGTTCCCCCTCCCTGGGGAGGCCAGAGGGATCTGCGGATGCATGGCCCTGACCCTGTCCAGCCCCTGCTGGGACAGGCTCCCCAGCGCCCCCAGGAGGAGCCCGGGCACCTCACGGCCTCTCAGGCGGCCGCGGGCCCTGAAGGGAGGACCTGGGGAGGGGGGGGGGCCTTCCTGGCGGAAGCGTGGACCCGGCCCCGGGCACCTGCAGGATGGCCACTTCGTTCCGGAGCTGGCTCTCCTGCTTGGTGGGGAAGCGCAGCTTGTCGATGACCTTGACGGCGACGTCCCGGCCGGTTTTCCGGTGCTTTCCTGGGCGGGGGAGGGCAGGCGGGGTGAGGGGCAGGGCCTGGCCTCCTGGCCGGAGGGCCTCCGCCCGCCCACAGAGACCGCCCCCCAGCACGGCGAAGGGATGGAAGGCCATGAGGTGGCTCTGAGGGGCCCCCGGAATAAATGCGAATGAAGGGAGGTGAAGGCTGCTCCGAGGAGGGGACTGACTACATGGGAAACTCGCTGACGCCCCGGCTGGTTTGGCTCCATGAACAGAACGTCAGTCTGCAGACTGAAAGGTCCTGGGTTCGGTTCCCGGCCAAGGGCACAGGCCCGGGTTGTGGGCTCGATCCCCAGTAGGGGGCGTGCAGGAGGCAGCCGATCCATGATTCTCTCTCATCACTGATGTTTCTCTCTCTCTCTCCTTCTCCCTTCCTCTCTGACATCAATAAAAATATGTTAAAAAGAAAGAAAACTCGATTGACAACCCATCAGCATCCAGGCTGCAGCCCTGGGCCTGGCTCCGCTGGTAGCAGGATGGTGCACCAGGAGGTGCCAGTCTATGGGGTCCCGGCCGGGCCCACGCCCGGTGTGCAGGTTGGTCCCCAGGAGAGGGGAGCCGGAGGCAGCCATCGGTGTGCAGTCCCGGCGCTAGCTCTGTAGCCAGTCCGAGGGCAGGTCGGCCTTCCCCGATCGGACCAGGAGAAAGCCCCTGGGATTCCCAGTGGGAACAGGAGACCCTGACACTCTGTCCCCAGATTTTTTTAATATTTTATTGATTTTTTACAGAGAGGAAGGAAGAGGGATAGAGAGGTAGAAACATCGATGAGAGAGAAACATTGATCAGCTGCCTCCTGCACACCCCCCACCGGGGATGTGCCCGCAACCGAGGTACATGCCCCTGACCGGAATCGAACCCGGGACCCTTCAGTCCTCAGGCCGACGCTCTATCCGCTGAGCCACACCGGTTTCGGTGAGAATCTAGCTTTCTAATCAACCAGAGCAGGAGGTGACGTGGCCCACAGGAAGGGAAGGTCTGGAGCCCAGGGAGGTGTCCTTACCGCCGTAGACCACTCCGAACTGCCCCGAGCCCAGCACCTCGTCCGGGAAGATCTGGTAGACGGTGGCGATGTCCTGCGGGGGGGCGGGGAGGGTCAGGGCTGCCCATGGAGATGGGGGTGGAGGGGACGGGGGAGGCGAGAGAACTGGGGGAGAGTGAAACAGGGGAGACATCCTTGGGGGGGCCCGGGGGTGTGGGCAGGGGTCTCACCACGTTCTCTTGGATCTGACTGTTAGACACGGAGATGCTCAGAGACGCTTGTCCTGGGGGAGGGGAGGGGAGAGGCGGAGTGAGGGGACCCCAGGCTCAGGGTTCCATCCCTCCGGAGCCAGGCGTCCGAGGCGCATTGTCAGGCTGCGAACCTCAGTCTCCTCGTCCGGAGGCTGGGCCTCTATGAGGGCCCCCTCCCAGGGCCAGAGAGGCGGGCACATGCCAGGTGCTGAGCGGCTGGGGGAGAGGTGCTGTCAGGAATGATGTCGCTGAGCATTCCACCCTGTGACCTCCGCGACAAGCGAGGCCTGCCGGCCCCATTTTACAGGGGAGGAAACTGAGGCTGGGGGAAAGTCCAGACTGACTCCAGCATCTTCCCCTGAACTCGATCCCCCCCCCCCGCCAACAAGTGACACGCCCAACGAGACCCGACACTTCCAAAGTCCTGGTCCTTCTGCCATTTTTCAATGTCTCTCCCGTCTCCACGGAGACATCAACGCACGTCCCCTTTCCTCATCTCCCTGCCCCAGTCCTGCCCTCTCCGGTTCACCCTCCCTGGGGAGGCCACACGGATCTGCGGACGCACACACCTGACCCTGTCCATCCCCTGCTAGGACCCTGCCTGGCTCCCCAGTGCCCCCAGGAGGAAGCCCAAGCTCCTTTCATGGCCTTCCTCATCTATCTCTTCGATTTGAAGCCCTACTACGTGTGTGTCCCCGCCACATTGCGCTCCTTGCTGGGCCTCAGACACAGCAAGTTCTCTCCTGTCTCTTGCCTTCGCTTGTGCTGTTCCCTCTGCAGGAATGTCCTCTTTCCCTGTCATGGATTTAATTTAAAATCCTCTTCATGCTCTGGCCGGTGTGGCTCAGTTGGCTGAGCATCATCCATGAACCGAAAGGTCACTGGTTCGATTATTAATCAGGGCACACAGCCAGGTTACGGGTTCGATCCCTGATCAGGGCGCACACGGGAGGCAACCGATGGATGTTTTTCTCTCTCTCCCTCTCCCTCCCCCTCCCCCTTCCATTCTTTCTAAAATCGATAAAAACTTTTTAAATCCTCATCCAAGGATATTTTCCATTGATTTTTAGAGAGAATGGAAGAGAGAGGGAAAAACAGAAATATATATTTTAAAAATATTTTTATTGATTTCAGACAAGGAGAGGGAGATAGAAGCATCAATGATGAGAATCATTGATCAGCAGCCTCCTACATGCCCCCCACTGGGGATTGAGCTCACAACCCAGGCCTGTGCCCTTGACCAGAATCGAACCTGGGACCCTTCAGTCTGCAGGCCAACACTCTATCCATTGACCCAAACCGGCCAGGGCTAAACACATTTTTTATAATCCTCCTCCTCGCCAAAACCGGTTTGGCTCAATGGATAGAGCGTTGGCTTGGGGACTGAAAGGTCCCGGGTTCAATTCCGGTCAAGGGCATGTACCTTGGTTGCGAGCACATCCCCAGTGGAGGGTGTGCAAGAGGCAGCTGGTCGATGACTCTCTCTCATTGATGTTTCTAACTCTTTATTTCTCTCCCTTTCTCTCTGTAAAAAATCAATAAAATATATTTTTTTTTAAAAAAATCCTCCTCCTCTTTCAGTCGCAGTCTCACTCCTGGGGCCTGTCAGATGACTCTGGCGTGTGCTCTGAGTCTCAGCTGTCACTGTGCTGGATGATCTGGTTCATGTCTGCCACCCACACTGCATTACAAGCTCCAGAAGGCTGGCCACCTGGCACTCTCTGCTCATCCTTCGCCTCTGCCCGACACCATTTCCCATTCGCTTTCCCTACCTCGCCCCTCCTCAGCTTCCAGGCCTCAGCCCAGGTGCTGCCTCCTCCAGGAAGCCCTTCTGGATTCGCAGTCTGGGCCGGCCCCTTCGCCGGCCCTCTGCAGCCCCCTGGTCCCCATGTCCCAGCATCACCCTAAGGCCAGCTCCATCTCCCCGAGCGGGCGGGTCACAGCTGTGTGCCCCACACCATCCAGCAGCGGCAGGCAGAGGGGGCAGTCCGTAAATGCATGAATCCCAAACTCTAAACTCACCCAGCAAAACTCAGAAAGAGAGTGCAAACGCGATCCCTAACTCTGCATGATGCTGCAGAGGCGAAGGGAACCAGGTTTGCTAACGTAATTGTGGTGATAGAAACGTATGAGCCTCAGAAGCTCCTGAGGCGGTTCATTCTATCCTAGTACAACGTAAAAAAACAAAAAACAAAAAAACCTCAGCCGAACCGGTTTGGCTCCGTGGATAGAGCATCAGCCTGCGGACTGAAAGGTCCCAGGTTCGATTCCGGTCAAGGGCAGGTACCTTGGTTGTGAGCACATCCCCAGTAGGGCGTGTGCAGGAGACAGTTGGTCGATGTTTCTCTCTCAGTGTTTCTAGCTCTCTATCCCTCTCCTTTCTTCTCTGTGAAAAATCAATAAAATATATTTTAAAAAAAACAAACTCAGAAAGAGAGAGACGCCCAAAGCCACCCATCAAGGCCAGGCCTTCATGGATTTTGGACTCAGGCCTGCTGAGTCCAGAAGCCACGTCTGTCACTGTGCCATTGCCTGTCCCCCCCCACACACACACCCTCGCCCTGTCCTCTGCTCCCAGCAGGGGGACTCACTGTGGGGCTCGTGGCCCGGGGCGCTGGGCGCGTCCTGGAGGATGACGGGCATCAGGGCCTGGCGGATGGCCGTCTCCCAGCCCCGGGCGGCCTCGGCCCCCTGCCCGCTGGGCCCGCCGGGGGCCCCGCCCGGCGTCTCGCCCACGAAGTAGGTGGCGTTGGCGGTGACGATCTCGAAGCAGTGCGGGTTGGTGCCCGGGGGCACCAGGCTGAAGTTCTGGGCGGGCTCCACGGTGAGGATCTCGGACAGCGGGATCTCCTGGCGGGACCCAGAACAGCGCCGTGAGCACCCAGCAGGCCCCGGAGCGCCCCGCGCTCGGCACAGAATCCGGTGTCAGCGGTGGAGCCGAGGGAAGGGAGCGGCCAGGACAGGCGCCTGGTGGCACTGACACCGAAGCAGACCAGAGCGGAGAGAAGAGGCCGGCAGCCAGAGCACCGGGGGACAGGGCACATGCAAAGGCCTGTGGTGGGAAAGGCCGCAGTGGGGTGTCATGTTTGATGGATAAATGAAGGCAATGAGGTGAGGGCCAGGCCATACAGGGCCTCCTGGGCCACAGGGAAGAGCCCAGACTCTGTCTCCAGGGCCCCGGGAGCCATGGGAGGGTGTGGAGCTACCTCTCTGGCTGTGTCAAGAGGGGTTGGGAGCCCTAGCTGGGTTGCTCAGTGGTTAGAGCACTAGCCTGCAGACTGAAGGGTCATGGATTCGCTTCCCAGTCAAGGACATGTGCCTTGGTTGCAGGCTCAATCCTCAGCCTGGATTGGGAGGCAACCAATGAATGTGTCTCTCTCACATCGATCTCTCTCTCTCTCTCTCTCTCTCTCTCTCTCTCCTCCTCCCTCCCTTCTACCCTCCTTTCTCTTCTCTCTAAAAATCAGCTGGCATGGCTCAGTGGTTGAGCATCCACCCCTGAACCAGGAGGTCATGGATCAATTCCCTGTCAGGGCCCATGCCCGGATTGCAGGCTCAATCCCTGTGTGGGGTGTGCAGGAGGCAGCTGATCAATGATTCTTTCCCATCACTGATGATTCTATCTCTCTCTCTCCCCCTCTCCCTTCCTCTCTGAAATCAATAAAAGTATTTTAAAAATGAACAAATACATACAAATAAAAATCAATGGAAAAATATCCTCGGGTAAGGATAAAAAAAATTTTTTTAAAAAGGCTTCTCTCTCTCCCTCTCTCTCTCTCTCTCTCAAATCAATCAATAAAAAACAACAAATAAGCTGTAAAGAGAGTGGGTGGGAGAGGAATGGAATGAGAGGAGGCCGAGAAGGAGGTCGGCGGGCCTGGGTGGGAGGGAAAGGGCAGGGTCCGTGGGGAGAGAAATGTGTCTGCTTTGGAAAGTACGGAAAGAGAAAGGAAGGAGGGAGGGGAAAGAGAGCGAAAGAAAGACAGACTGAAGAGCCAGGAGCAGAGGTGATGGCGGGGAGGCGTTTGAGAGGCGGAGGCGGTCAGGGAGCACGGTGTGAGCAGGCGGGGAGAGTGAGAGGGGACCAGCCTGGGCGGGTGCAACAGGCCCCTGGGTTTACTCCAAGGACAGAGGAGCCATCGCGGGGTGCTGAGGTTCTAACCGACTCCTCAGGCTGCTCTGTGAGGAAAGACTGAGGTGAAGGCAGAGCGGGGCCAGCGAGAACACAGCCACACCAGCCAGGGGAGGGAGAGAGGCGGCGTGGCTGGAACACAGTGCTGACGGGAGGTGGTGATGAATACAAATAATCCCATAAGTTGCCCTAACCCGTTTGGCTCAATGGATAGAGCATCAGCCTGCAGACTGAAGGGTCCCAGGTTCGATTCCGGTCAAGGGCATGTACCTTGGTTGCGGGCACATCCCCAGCAGGGGTTGTGCAGGAGGCAGCTGATCGATGTTTCTCTCTCATCGATGTTTCTAACTCTCTATCCCTCTCCCTTCCTCTCTGTGAAAAATCAGTAAAATATATTTAAAAACAAACAAAAACAAATAATTCCATAAGTGAATTACAAAGTAATAACGATCACAAGTTTATAATTACTGGGAGCTTGGCCCATGCCTGGCCCCAAGCTAACTGCTCCTTGTGGGCACACCGTCTCTGATTCTGGCGCGGTCCTGAGGGGCGGCTATTCTTTGGGGCCCTTTACGAGTGAGCGCACGCAGGTGAGCTGGGCTGGAAGGCGATGGGGCCGCTTGCCGATGAGCCATCAGACGTGTGTGCGGGGAGAGGGTACGGTCCGTGGACGTTTGGCTGGAGCAGTTGGGCCAGGAATCAAGAAGGTGGTGGGCAAAGAAGGAAAGCCTGAGGCGGCTGGGAGCCCGAGACTCACCTTGTAGTATCTGTTGGTTGTGTTGTTCTGGAAGAGGGTGATGCACTTGCTGTCCAGGCGCCAGTAGTGCCGCTTCCTCTGTTGGGAGAGGTGTTGGAGGTGAGGGTGTCTCCCCTGGTGAGGGCACCTACCTGCCAACAGCCAGGCCCCGCCCCCACGCCTCTCCCCGCCCCCAAGCCCAGCCTTAGCCCCGCCCCTGAGCCCGCCCCGCCCCAAGCTTCTCCCCGCCCCTGAACCCAGCCTTAGCCCCGCCCCCAAGCCTCTCCCCGCCCCTGAACCCAGCCTTAGCCCCGCCCCCAAGTCTCTCCCCGCCCCTGAACCCAGCCTTAGCCACGCCCCCTGACTCCCGCCCCTGAACCCAGCCTAAGCCACGCCCCCTGATGCCTGCCCCATCACTGAACTCAGCCTTAGCCACGCCCCTGACTCCCGCACAGCCCCGCCCACCCAAAAGCCCCGCCCCTGACAAGCTCGTTCTGACCCGCCCCTGGCCCCGCCCACTCACCAGGGTGTCCTTGTTGCTGTAATGAACCACCCAGCCTTCGTGCAGGGTGCTGCTGGATTTCCGCGTCGTGTGTCGCACTGACTGCACCACCCTCATGAGGGGGATGTACCCCAGGGAGCTGAGGGGGGCGGAGAAGGGGTGGGAGGTTAATACAAGGGTAAGGTGACCAGAAGTCCCAATTTTTAACAATTTGTCCCGCATCCCGCAGCGTTTTAAAAATGTCCTGATTTTTATCGGGACTTTTTTTTTTTTTTTAATATATTTTATTGATTTTTTTTTACAGAGAAGAAGGAATTGGGATAGAGAGCTAGAAATATCGATGAGAGAGAATCATCGACCAGCTGCCTCTTGCACACCCCCTACTGGGGATGTGCCCGCAACCACGGTACATGCCCTTGACCGGAATCGAACCCGGGACCTTTCAGTCCGCAGGCCGACGCTCTATCCATTGAGCTAAACCGGTTTCGGCGGGACTTTTTTTTTTTTTTAATTTATTGATTTTTCACAGAGAGGAAGGAAGAGGGTTAGAGAGCTAGAAACACCGATGAGAGAGATGCATCGACCAGCTGCCTCCTGCACACCCCCTACTGGCGATGTGCCCGCAACCAAGGTACATGCCCTTGACCAGAATCGAACCCGGGACCTTTCAGTCCGCAGGCCGACGCTCTATCCACTGAGCCAAACCGGTTTCAGCTTTATCGGGACTTTTTTAAAACCCTGAGGGATGCGAGACAAATTGTCAAAAATCAGGGAATCTACAAAACAGGGGGGAACGTGTGCCCTCCCCCAAAACAACTCCCAAGCTGCCCAGCGATGCCCCTTGGGTAAGGTGACCAGCAGTTGTTTTGGGGGAGGGCACACGTTCCCCCGTTTTGTAGATTCCCCATAATGAGGACGGAGGCTTTTTACTGAAAGGCTGGGTTCGCAAACCAGGCTGCCTGGTAAGTAACCCAGCTCTTCATGCCTCCGTTTCTCTCCCCAGAGGGGTGCTGAGGCGTGGAAACCTCTCTGAGGGGCTGAGCCCCGTGCTTGGCCCACAGTGGGCCTTGCGGTGCTAATTCCCACCGAGTCCAGGGATCCTGCAGCCAGGTGTGCGGGAGGCAGGGAGTGGGGGGATTTCAATGGCTGAGTTACCAGTTCCTAAACAAACATAACGTACATTACAACATGCTTCTATGAAAACGAGTTAAAAATGTACATCAGGCCCAGCCAGCATGGCTCAGTGGCTGAGTGTGTTGACCTATGAACCAAGAGGTCATGGTTTGATTCCCAGTCAGGGCGCAGCCCGGGTTGCGGGCTGGATCCCCAGTGTCGGGCGTGAGGGAGGCAGCCGATCGATGATTCTCTCTCACCATTGATGTTTCTGTGTCTCTCTCTCCCTCTTCCTTCCTCTCCGAAGTAAAAAAATATATATCTAAAAAATAAATAATATTTTTAAAAAATGTAAATCATGAAGTTGGAGAGCGAAGTGTGGGCAGAGAAGAAGATCTGCCTCGGGAACCTGGGTAATTTTCGGGTAGAGGTGACGGTACCCCATTGCAGAGATGGGGAAGGGCATGCCCAGGGTACCTCTGGGCCTTGCCCCCCTCGGCTTCCTCCTCCTCGCTGGGGTGGAGGGCGTTTTCCGAGTGGGAGCCTGGGATGATGCCGGAGTCGTCGGACTCATCCATGCTCTTGTCGGCCTCGCTGAAGTCCGTGGCCTCCTCCATCGGCACGTCTGAGGGGGACAGGGCATCAGAGGCCTCCCCCCCCCGCCCGCCCCGGCCTGGCCCAGCTCCTGCCGGC